CCCGTCCAGGCCTAGCGCCTGCAGCCATGTATATAGACCTTCCTGAGCTCCCCGAGCTTCCTGTTTCCTCTCCTCACTTTGTATTCTAAGGTCAGAATTCATCAGTTCGTCACATTATACAAAGTCTTTCGATTAGGTCGTCGTATTACAGCTTATTGTTATTGATTATTGTTACAGCTTACAGATTACGGCTTATTGATTATTGTTAAGAACGGAGTGAGTTACTTGTTAGGTGCTCCACGGTCTTTTATTGCTTACAGATTATTGTCTTTTTTACGACCTCACCTCTTCTTCAGCTCTTCCGACCTAAAAGAGCTCCCTCCCTCAATTTTTACACTTCGGTTGCAAGACGAACTCTCTTCCCCACTCTTTTCCTGGCGTTTCCGACACTCAAACGCCCTCCTTATTTCCACCACCATGTCCTCCTACGAAGACGACGGCCCTTCCCCCCTTACGAGAATCGCTCAATTAGAGTCCCTCGTAGAGCAATTACGAATGGCCCCTCGCTAGCGCAAATGCGTCCTTCCTGATCTCGATAAGTTCAACGGTACGGTTTAGCGGTGAGATACTTAGCTCCTTTTAATCAAGGCTAAGCTTCTTGTCGACGGTAAGGCTCTTGGCGGACCCACTGCGCAGTTCTATTACGTTTACTTCAATATAGAACCCGGTCCTTAAGCAATGGTTTTGACTCAATTGGCCTCAGCTCAAGACTCCGGCAATTAAGATTACAATATTCTTTTAGATCAGCTCGCTCTCGCTTACGACAATCCAAACAAAATTCAAGAAGCTGAGGATAAGCTGCTTGCTTGCAAGCAAGGTACGGACGCTTTTTATATCTACGTCTTACGCTTCGAACGACTTTTGCACGCTGCTCGCTATCAAACCTAGCCCGACGTTAATAAGATTATTGCGTTCCGCAATAGTCTAAACTCAACTATACGGACCCGTTTGAATAGTCAATTGACTCTCTTAACTACGTATATTGAATACGTGTACGTCACTCAGCAGCTTAGACGCTCTTCCGGCTCTTCCGGCCCTTCCGGCCCGTCCTACGGATTTTCTCGACCTTCGGCACCTTCGGCCCCTCTTCAAAACCGCCCTTGCACGTTAACGGGCCCTCTCCTCGGCGACCCAATAGACCTTTCAGCAGTCGAACGCGCTTAACAACTCGAGCAATTGCAGCACGCCAACGAGCTCGGCGCTATAGAGCTTATCGACGCTCACGAAGCTGACCAAACTCAGCTGTTAAAAGAACGATACCCCACTCTCTAGCATGCTCCTCACAGCACTCTTGATCAGCGCGAAGCTTAGCGCAAATCAAATCGCTATACTCGTTGCGGTGCAATCGACTATTAGATAGCTGGCTATACCCTCTTTCTAGCTAAGCCTTTGATAAAAAAGCGAGTTCTTTAAGACCTTTTTTCGGACCGACCTGTTAAAGAAAATAAGGGTTTAAGCGAGTTTGACTCGGACGAGAAAGAGGAAATTTTAGCGGAATAGAACGCTTTTAAAGGCTACGACGCTAACCTTAACGATTATCGCGATCTGTAGCCTCGGCGTATTTTTTTGGTTTTTTTTCAGCAATTCCACCCGTGAACCATAGTTCACGATTGAATTTTTTTATTTTTTCCTTCCTCTATCAAATACTTTTTGAGAGAGCTAGGACCGCTTTCTAAGGGGGTAGTGTGACAGCCTGCCTTGTTACCTGCAGTCAGCTGATCACCCGTCCAGGCCTAGCGCTTGCAGCCATGTATATAGACCTTTTTGAGCTCCCCGAGCTTCCTGTTTCCTCTCTTCACTTTGTATTCTAAGGTCAGAATTCATCAGTTCGTCACAGTATCGATCGTTGCTATACGTAATAAACGGCTAGCACTCTTTTTTCCCGAGTGTTAATGCTTTAATTAGACCTCTTCGCTAATTATAATTTTAAAGAAAGCTAAACTTTTTGCTATTCGACTTGCTTTTGCTATTTAAATACTTTTTAAAAAACACTCTTTTCTCTCTTAAAACGATAATTACGCGCACGGACCATATATAAACGGACTTATAAACGTATTAATTTTTTTTTAAAAAAATAACTTATTGCAAAAAAGATTCCAACGCTCTTTCATTTACGTTGCGATTTGATTGTCACTAACGGTGACCCAAGATAAATTCTAATAATTATAATAGTGATGAGTCATCTAGTAGTTGTGGTAGTGATAAGTCATCTAATCGTCGTAATAGTAATGAGTTATTTAATAGTTATAATGATAATGAGTCATTTAATCACATAAGACTATTCTATACCGATCTAACAAGATTTTTAAGCAATATTAAGAGAAATGTCGGCAGATAATTCTAGATTTCAAAAAAAGTCGGCCCGAATTAAATATGTTTTACAATTAAGCTTAATTCAACTACCGTTATCGATTCTGTTATATTAATGCTTTATATTAATAATTATTTTACGTTCGTTATTTACAATTATTCTTGCAACCACTTTTATTGCTACAATTATTATTGTCACCAACGGTGACCCAAGATAAATTCCAGTAGTTGTGGTGATGATTAGTCATCCAATCACGTGAAATTTTCTATACGGATCTGGCAGGATTTCTGAGCGTGCCAAGACTTTTATTCCATGTCAATCTATTGAACTTTTTTCGGAACGAATCGGCCCGTTTAATTCATGTACAACAGCTAAGCCTAATTCAGCCACCGCCATTAATACTGCCAGGGCCCAGCAGCCATACGTAACGCACGTCGCTGCTACACGTAACTTACGTAAGGCTGCTACACGTAACCTACGTAAGGCTGCCACACGTAAAGCACGTCGTTGCCTAAAATATAAGTGATTCGCAAAAAGGTCTAGGATTTCTTTATTAAAAAAAAAGGTTT